CATCCTTCCTTGTGTTGCCCTTTTCTAAAGTACCTCTCATTGAAACGATCTCTCAAAGAAAACGGTCCGTCACTCGACTTACCGGATTGGTGTTAGTTTTACCTTTGTGTTTTCGAACACTGGCTCCACTATTATCGAGACAGCATCGCGTATTTTGCGCTCGTTACCTTCTGGAACCACGTTGTCTCACTCATTCGATCTTCTAGAAACTTGGACATGTTACACGATTTCTTGTACTGCTCTGCCGTTCAGATTCACTGTGTCAGAAGTGTTTTACTATGAAAATCTATTTGGCCAGAGCAGTTTAGGAGAATAGCTTATGTGATGCTTGTAATCGATTCTTAATTGATTTTTTAAACTATACTTTAATTTCGTTTAAACGAACTGCTGTAGATAAGACCTATATTCCTTGCGCTGTAGTCTCCGGCGATGTTTTGAGAATTAAAAACTCAGCTGCTCTGGTTGACGGCTGATTGTTATTCCAATGTCTCCTTCTGTGGATGACAGCTTTCCTCAAGTGTCGACCGATTCCGTTGGTTCCGCTTCTTTGAGGGCCCAAGCCCACTACTCCTGTCGGTAGTTTCAGAAGTAGTCGGCTTCCTGTTAAGGTGTATGGTCTTGTTAGTTCCTAACCATCTGTTTCCGTCAGAATGCGGGCCTATGTAGTGTAAAAGAAGGAAAATGGAAAGTGTATCAGTTCTAATGCTTGAAAATCGTCCAAGGGACTCGTATGGTTATAGCTATTTTGTGGGTGTGTGTATGTGTGCGAAGTGTGCGTTCATGAAGAGCAACGATACACGAGCAATGTTTGTTGAGTGAGGCGAAGAGTGCTCGAAATTTGTCGGCTATTCGTATTGCATGCTTCATTTCAACAAGCATTGGTCTTGTTGGGTATCACCGGCTCTCAGTACCTAAAAGTGACGATCAGGCCACAAGCTATTCGTCCCCTAGGTCTATTAACCCATGATGAGCTTGGACGCTCCACCGGCTAGTCGTTCCCCTTGAGTTTAGCTGTTCTCTGCAGTGGGAAGTAGTCATGAGCGAGCATTTCTCTTTCCCAGTCAATCAGATTCTGATAACTCCTTTGCGATCTTGTGAGGGATACAGTTGCATAGTTTTCGTTTCATGATAGTTTTCAGTGCAGTATCGCTTTTGAAAATGATTTTCTTTCTGCTGGGAATAGGTAATCCTATGGTCCTAAAAGTGACGATCAAGACCGAATTGTTCTCTGGTTACCTAGACCACTTTTTCTGGTTTCATATGCTCCTCCAAGGAGTCTTACTGTTATCTATCGTGAGGCATTATCGTGGGCGAGCTTCTCTCCGCCCTTGCCAATTGAAATTTGAAGATTTCAATCGAATCACGCATGGAACTCACTTTTTTTTTTCGCTCCAGCATCGTTTTTTTCGATTTTTTTTTGTAGACATAGTCGTGCAGGCGCTTCTTCTCTCTCTCCTTGTCATTTGGATTTTAAGATTTTCATTAAAATTTGGAAGAAATACATTTTTTCAATTTTTTGCATAGCTTTCTGTGGGATTTTTCTTTGGCTAGAAAACATAACTTTTAAAGTAACTTAGTTACTGGTCAAGAGCGCGGTGCTGGTTCTCGCGGGCGAGTTCATCCCTTGTCGATCGAGTTTTGGGTGAAATTCGGTCGTTTTTCTCGGAAGATCGCTTCCCTTTTTAATTTTTCAGTCGATATTTTTCATACCTCCGATTTTTAGTTCATCTTATGGGCGATGTTTACAGAACGCATTTCAGAGATAGTTTGAAGCTTTTTCTGATGAATGTTTTTCTTAACTTTCGATTTTACGCTTATCTACTATCTTTGTACTGGTAGAGCCGTTGATTGATTGATTAAATGATCGGAGTTCAGTACTGGCTGGGGCTCTAAATAATCCTTCTGTTTGACAGTCAGCACGTGTCATGGCTGGCGCCAGTGACACAGTTTGAAAATGCAAACATAACTGATCGACGTTGCCTCAACTGATTCCGTTCTTGCCGATTGCTTATTGATTAGGAATACCTTGAAATCGAAGAAAACTTGTCAAACCAGTTCGTACTAAGTTTCGAATCTTCAGAATTTTATTACAGCGTGTTGTAAAATTATTCAACAACGGCTACGATCGTCATTTGGTGGTAGTACCCGAACACCGACACCAACAACCCCAGCAACTGCCGATAAACGGGACTATCAGGTGGGTTTTGTGTACCTTTTTAGAGCTCTTCCTCTCTCTGGACCTTCTTTTCTTGGCATTATCACTATTAATAACTGATTTGTTCTTTTTAGGATTCTCGATTTGTGCATAACGTACTATACGGTCCAGTTCCTGGTCAGAAAAACGCCTATCATCAACGTTCCATATCTTCGGCTCCGTTAGCGGAACAGTTTCTGAGCAGTGCCTCCCGTAAGAGTCACGTACATCAGAGAGAACCCGCAGGAGTCCTCAGTGGTAATTTTTATTTCAATTAAAGCGTAGTGTGATTTCCATCCATTTGGGAAAGTGGAAGTAGTAGGGATCCTACATCGTTTCTGACTTTTGAAGTTTGAATTGAATTTTGAAGACGGGATTCATCGGTATTCCTGCAAAACGCTATATCTTAGGACTTCATTGACAAATGTACTTTTCACAATTTCCCCCTCTCGTTCGCACTACTTTTTTTTATTGACAAAAAGCGCAAGGTATAAGTGGACTGGAAGAGGGTACATTATATGGTTACCACGCTTCCATGCACATCGATGCTTCCATCCAAGCTTTAGCTTCGCTCACCTCTTTGACTAACAATGGGTGAAATGTTGGCCGGCGAACGCTGTGGTTTAGTTGTGAGTAAAAATTGTTGTTTGTTTATTTATTTAGTTCTTTGTTTCATGAGCGAATAGATGCATCCTTGCGGTTCCCAACATGATTGAGAAAGTTTTGGTGGGGCTTTCATTTCTTCCAAATCGAATAAAAGATTCCTCCTCCCCCCTCCCAAGCACTCGTAGATGACCGACAGAGTGAGCAGATGATAGATTTGTTGGGGCAACTCCAGTACATGAGAAATTTCCAACTTAATTTTTGGGTGTTAGGTTTCCTACCCCAATTGGTCCCGTTTCGTATGCTCTCCCAGAAGTAATACAGGTCTTAGCCATCTCTAGAGAACCATAGAACACAGTTTTTTTTTATGGAAAACTCCTGATGGGGGACGAAACTGGAAAAGAATTGAATTTGCTTGTTTTCTTACTTTTACTGCTCCTTTCTTATGAGTTGTCCGATGTTTGATCGTATGGTTGCACGAAACATGATGTTTTTCGCTTGGGAACGTTGTCATGCAAGAGTCCAAGAACGAAAAAGGCTGCGTTATCTGTCAGAGGCTATCAGAAGGGAACACGTTTTTCCTCCAAATTGGCAGCGATTTTGGGTTCGTGCACGATAGTGTGCAGAATTGCCCAATTCCATGCATAGTTTCTAGGAAATGAGACCCGTTTGGTGGTTGTTACGCTGTTCCCATGAATCTGACCGACCGAGCACTTGC